GCTGGCGAAACGTTAGGAAACAAAACTTCCAGAACACGGCCACACAGCCCGGAAGACCCACTCCAGCCATCTTTAGTATTATCTGTTTGTATCTCTCTATTGGCCTAAATTGTGATGTTTCTCCTCTGAGGGAATTGGAAAAAGATTTAAATACTTTAAAATCATATAATGTGTTCAATTATTCACAAGTAATTAATGATATATTGGAAAACTGTAACCTCCATGACATTTTTAGATCTTAAGGCACATATTAATTACTTGTGAATGTGGTATGTTGGGAAGCTGTATGCATAGCTATCTAGGGGCTCTGCCATTGATTGACTGATGGATTATGTGCCATCAGGTTGTTTTCAACTCCTAGAGACTAAAACTATCCATTTGGACCACTGCCATGAGAGGTTTCTAGAAGGAAGAGAAAAGAAAAGAAAAGCCCCAGAACCCATTGTCATACTTGATCCTTTAAGCACTGCACTGAGAGAAGACTTTAGGAGGAAGATGAAAAAATAAAGAAGACCCTTTTTATTCTTTTTCCTCATTTCTACAAACCCCGAATATTATTGAAGGATCTTCTGACTAAAGTCATACACAGTACAACATGTAGTTGATAATTTTTACTTTGGTCAGTTTTAACTTTTATGTTCTGACACTAAAACAGATTTTTGAATGTCTTTCCTGTTTTTCCTGGTGGACTTGCATTGCGGATTTATGTAATCCTTTATATTTTGGACAGTGCTGAGTAGCATGGATATTATTTGGCTGCAGAACAGGAGAATAGCCAATATTTAAGACTTCGGTGTCCAGAAAGGAAGTTGCCTTATGTAGATTATGATTATATAGCTTTAGTATCCTTTAGTCTCTCCTTTGATGCATTTATGTGCACTGAGTATTTCTTCCATAGGAAGATAATATGTATCTATTTTCTATGACGTGATGTTCTTTCTTTCAGGGTTTTGTGCTGTGTCATTCCATCGCTGGTGGGACTGGCTCTGGTTTGGGCTCTTACCTTCTGGAGAGGTTAAATGACAGGTGAGTGATGACACCAGATGTGTTTGTGCTTATATCCACACTCCTTTTGGGTAGGAAAATGATGAAACAGTCAGGTTACTTCTGGGGAGTCTGCTAACTGGCAGATATGCAAGATACACAGCTGACTCAGTAAGGTCTGCCCCACCTAAACACCAGCTTGGACAAGCCTTGTAGTTCATACAGTTGTAACTTGAAACAGGAAAAAGATTGAAATAATCAGTTTTGATCCCTCAGGCAAGAAATGTTCCTCAGACTTGGCTAAAGAAAATCACATTTATTTTTGTTGGATAACATAGTGGTTTGAGAATCATAACCCTACAGAACTTCCAGAAATTGTGAGGAAGGATAAACAGACACTTGATGAAAATTAAATTAGGCTGAGTAATAACATGCCAAATATCCCTTAAATGTAGCCAGTTTTAACTATGAGGTTATTTTAGAGGAGCAACATTTCTTTTCTTCCCTGAGGTCCACAGAATGTTATGAATCTTATCCCTAACCACTATATGTAGTTGCCATTTGTACTGTTCACTCCCTCATATCCTCTAAGGGTGCTAGAGAACTTGGAGGCAGTCTTATGTTGGACTGAACTTGAAAAAAATATTTTTTTCATCTTGTTGACCTTGAACAACAACCATTTTGTTGAGCGGACTGACAAATAGTAGGTAGGCATCAGAGATGGGTGAATCATCTGATTTATCAGAGGGGGCAGGACTTGTAGAAGTTATAATTCTCAGTGGAGGAATTATCCCATTAGAGTAGTTATGAGATGCTCTTGAATGGATTGCTTGTAATGTTTCTAACTGATCCAGTGATTTAATCTACAGTCAGAATTACAGATGGTTTTCCACGTTATTGTGGGTATTGTACTTGTGATCTTTTTAATCTAGTGGGTAAAATATAGCTGCTGTGTGTTTGAAAGTTTTAAAATCTTCCTAGCACTATTTTAATAAATTTTAATAGTGGTTTTTAAATATGTTTTTGATGGCAAGTGCTTTTTTGTAGCTAAGAGCAATTGTCTGATTGTTACCTATAAAAATGCACACTCTCAAAAGTGTTCAGTATGATATTTCAGCAAAAACATACCTCTGATCCAAAAATTATCAATGAAGCAGGGTGTTTTTTTAAAGTAAAACTTACTTTGCATTATATTTCTCAATTAAGCTCTATTTTAAATATATTATCCATATGGTTATGATGCCATTCAGCTATCACAGGATTGCCAGGTAATCAACATCTCTGTTTCATTTGCATTTGACTACATCAAATTAAATTTTACAAATACCTAACCTGCAAAATGCCATGGTGAAACTAATAGAGCATTTGGGACCAGGCTTGCCTTAATCAGCAGTGGCAGAGCAGCTGGTAGACTAATTGATGTTACTATACTCTTCTGGGAGCTTGCCAGAGAAGGTTGGAGGACCTGAATTAATTCCTGACTTTCAGTACTCAGTGTGAATTGTTTATGGTGGGTTTGCTGATGGGATTTCATACAGATCACACTGAGATGACTATTCTGAGTTTGCTGAAAGAAGGGGCAGCAAAATGTGCTGTACCCATCACTGAAAGCAGTGGCCCAGTACAGGACAATTACCAAAATTTCATGCAGAGATTTAGAGCTGCATCTGATGATTTTGTAAGAAGAATAAGTGTAAATTGAGAGATTCACAAGTTAGAAGAGGTCATTGTAGAGTTTATGCATACATATTGGATTTTCAATTATTTGCCAGAGATGTGGGGTAGAATAATTTGGCTCAGATTGGCCAATTTTGAGAACGACTTACTGACAAACTAAGAGATGAATTGGTGAGACAAGGCATCCCAGAGAATTTGGAAGAGTTGAGGCACTGAAGAAATGGCAGTGGAAGAGGGTTTTATAGCCTCTCTTCATTTTTAGCCCCTCTCCCTGTGACCTCCTCAGAATCCAGCACAGAGAAGCCATATAATAAGAACAGTGAAGCAATCCCTGCCCCAGCAGAGAAACAGAAAAGATCTTGTTTTGTTTTTTGGGTTTTTTTGTAATAATTTTATTAAAGTTTACAAGTACGAAGTTAAAAGACTAATACAAACTAAGAAAAATATAAAATGTGAAGAAAAGAGAAAGAAAAGTGCAAAGAGAAAGAAAAAAGAAAAGGGAAAAGGGAAAACAAAGAAAAAGAGATGTTTATTTATTAAATTTATATGCCACCCATCTCCTCCAGAGGGTGACTCTGGGTGGCTCACAATTAAAGTAAAACCCGAAAACAGTTAAAAATATAAATATCCCCATTAATTTAGTTAAAAAGTCAAACTATATAAAAAGAACACATATATAAAAAGACTAAAAACATTCAAGATGATTGGGGGGGGTAGAATCAATTACCCCCAGTTCCAATAGTGCGAGCCCCCGTCTGCCCCCCAGGCCATCAGGCATAGCCAAGATTTCACTCTCTATATGAAAGAATGACTCCCCCCTCCCTCCAGACAACAAAACAACTTCAGTAACTTAACAACTTCTCTAGTGTTTCAATTAAAAAAAAAAAATCTCTTCTTCCCATAGCTCATCTCTTATCAATAAACAAATTGTAAAAAAATCATCTTTCAGTCCTATTTAGCAAAAGTCCATTAAGAGCTACCAGAAATAATAATATATATATTTTAACATTAATCAAATAAATCCATTTTGTATTCCAACTTATCACTTTCTTTGAGGAATAAAGCAAATGAAATCTCTCCCTATTTATAAACAAATCTTTAAAGCCTTGTCATTCAGTCCTGGTCAAAAAGAAATTCCATTAATAGCTACCAGAAACCACAACATCTATAGCCTTGTCATTCAGTCCTGGTCAAAAAGAAATTCCATTAATAGCTACCAGAAACCACAACATCTATAGCCTTGTCATTCAGTCCTGGTCAAAAAGAAATTCCATTAATAGCTACCAGAAACCACAACATCTATATTTTAACCCTGGTCAAATCAATTCACTTTGTATTCCTTCCATTTACTTTCAAAAAGCTTGATAGAAACAGAGAAGATCTTGGTTCATGTTTCTACTGTGGTGCTCTTGGATGTTTAGCTAGAACTTATACCATTAAAGTTCATGCCTCTGAATCAGTTGTGAAATACTGCACCTATGGATTTATGGGCCATGTAACAAGCAAATGCCTGACTTACTCCAGGGAAGTAAAACTCCTCTCCCAAGGGTTTGGCAAGGGGCCCCTCAAACAGTTAAGGAGAGCTCAGACAACAGACAAATATATATTACTATTTCTGTTACTCGTTTAACCTCAGGCTGGGAAATACAACTCTCAGCCCTAATAAACCTGAGAAGCCATAGACAATTTCATAGATGAGACTACAGTGCAAAAATCTGATTTATCTACTCAGACACTGGAAAAACAAAAGCTGGTAGAAATAATTGATGGGCAAGTGCTGCAAGCTGTTTGTGTATTACAACGTATACACCTTTGCAACTGACAATAAAGGATCCTATAGAATTCTTACTGCTTTATGTTACTGCTTTTTTGTTTGTTTCCATTGTGCTGGGAATTGATTGGCTGCAAATAATCCAGATGTACACTGGGAGCAAAGAACAGTTTCTTTTCTGTTCCCAAAATACGAATAGTGCTATTTGCAGGCTTTCCGCTCTCATGCTTCATCCTTGCCTGCTCAGTTCACAGACTCTGCTGCCTTGCCAAAAAAAAATACTTTGATTTTGTGGATGTGTTTGAGGAGGAAGAAACAACTGTGTTGCTTTCTTATTGGGCTTGTGACTGTGCCGTCAACTTGAAATCAGAAGCCCAAATTTCAGCTAAAAGGCAATATTCATGTCTACTCTACCTTGAAGGAATTTCTGGGTGACAATTTGAAGAAAGGTTTTGGCCTTCTAAATCTCCAGCACCTGCACCTACATTGTTCATCCTTAAAGGAGATGGCTCTGTTAGAACTGTGCATGACCATAGACTCCTAAACTATATGACCATTAGGATCACTTCCCATTGCCTCCTAGATTACCTACAGAAGACATGTATTTTCACCAAGTTGGACTCGAGAGGCAACTACCATTTGATCAAAATGAAAGAAGGATATGATAGCTAACTGCATTAAATACCAAATATGGCAAGTTTGAATAAACAGTAATACTTTTTGGCTTGGTGAATTGCAGGTGGTCTTCTCCAGATTCATGAATTAAGTATTTTCTGATATTTTGGACAAATATGTAGTTGTAAACTTGGATGACATACTGAACTTTTCAGAAGATCCTTGTTTGCATGAGATCCACATCAGAAGGCAGCAGAAATATTTTAAAGAGACTCTAAACACAAACCTTTTGCTAAATTGGAAAAAAGTGCATTTGATCTACTCCAACTGGGTTACTAGATTTCTACAGAAGGAATATAAATGGTCCTGCAAAAGTACAGTCCATACTTTCATGTCAAAAACCTAAAAATGTGAAAGATGTACAGCATTTTTCACGCTTTGCTAATTTGTATAAAGGATTTATCCTTAATTTTGCAACTATATAAGACTGCTGTCTCAATTCCTAAAGAAAAGATGTAAGTTTATGTGGACTACTCAGAAGAAAGCAACATTTCAGGAATCAACATCCTTTTTACAGTTGCTCTTCAAGCATCCAGACTCCTCTCACCAGTTTGTGGTGCAAACAGATGCATCAGATGTTGCATTTGGAGCCATTCTCTTCCTGGCAGAGAAATGGGGAGGAGGAGAGGATGGATCTCCTGCCATGTGCATTTTGTTCCAGTTGCTTCTACCAGCTGAATGGAACTGTGACATTTTTAGTCAAGAGTTGCTTGCAGTGAAGACAGCATTCCAGCAATGGAGGCACTTCCTAAAAGGCACAGTCCATCTAGTACAGGCGCACACAGATCACATGAATTTGGAAATTCTGCAGAAAACAGTCTTTCACACCTTGACAAATCAGGTGGGCACCAATTTTTTCCAGTTTCAATTTTTATACCACCTATATCTTTGGCTCACCAAACAAGCTGCCAGATACCCTATCACGTAAATCTGAATGTGACCTTCCCTACTCATCTGTCCCTACCATAATACTGCAGCTGAGCAACTTTGCTTCTCCCCAGAAGTTAAACCCTCCTGAAAGATTGGGGGCAGAGAGTCAAATGGTAAATCTACTAGATTGGATTAGAGTGCCACAACAATAGGATGCATATGCCAGAGCTCAGATGAATGAGCTCCAGGGAAACCCACAGCATGATTCTTCATCCTTTTCTTCAGATGACAGGCAAATATTTCACAATGGCCATTTGTATGTTCTGTGGTGCCCTTGGAGTTCTCTGAGCTTGGCTGTTTTCTTGCAAACGTTTCATTACCTGGCTAGGTAACATCTTCAGTGCTAGAATGGAATTGGGTTTGTTCTCTGTTTATATACAGTGGCATGCCCTGCCAGTGTTATTTAACCGTAGTTTCAACTGGGAAACTGTCAGCATCTTAGACCAAGCTAAATCCAAAAATCCGAGGGAATTCATGGAAGCTTGCTATTCAGACAAGGCAGCCATCAACAGGCACATAGAGATAAACATCTGTACACTATTCAAAAGAGACAACGAAAAGGAAAATGAAAGACCAGAATATCTCCTCACCAGCAGTCATCACTCAGATAAGCAGTGATTAACACCAAGATTATCACCATCCATACAATCAGCAGTAAACAATACACTAATCAAGGAACTACCAGAGGAAAAAACAAAACAAAACCTCCACCCCCACCAACACTGGCAGGACATGCCCCTGTATATAAACAGAGAGCAAACCCCATTCCATTCTAGCACTGAAGATGTTACCTAGCCGGGTAATGAAATGTTTGCAAAAAAACAGCCAAGCTCTGAGAACTCCAAGGACTCCGCAGTTCAACCCTGAGCTACACATATTCTCTTCTATTTGTATGTTCTCCTTCCTTTAAGGGAAGAAGTATTGCAACTCTGCCGCAGCAATGGAACTGCTAGACATGGGAGCATGTTTAAAACTCTGCACCAGGTATTCAAAAAGCTCTGCTAGCTGAAGGTGAAAGCAGATGCCAAGTTTGCATCCATTCCCTGTTTTAGTAATTATCAATTACCATTCCCTTTTACCAGTGTGATAAATAATTCTTACCACTACCAAAAAATGTCTATCCCACATTCAGAACTGATCATTATCCTTGTATTGTTCACTAATTCTTGCAGTCTTTTATTTTTCATCATAAACAGTCAAATCACTCATGCTTTTAGATTTCTATTCACTCCTTGTACATATGAATAGGCTTATATTTAAAATATTTGAAAGAGTCCTTTCTCTAAGCAAATACTCCCCAGTTATCATTCTCTCATTCATTGGGGTATAATGTGCAATTATCACCAAACTATGGATTCCTACATTTCCTCCATCTGCAACAGCCTAGATGGCAGCAATGCATACTTTCTATTTTAGCCCTTTCATTCATAATTACATATACACCTTCACTTATCAGCATACATTCATCAATTCTATTCTACAAGATTAGATCAGTTTCATTAGTTCTCTTCTATTCCTCTTTCCCACCCAACACATCTTTCATTTCATTTATTTTATGCTGTTTACCATTTGCTTTTTTTACATTCCAAGTTGTTCTTTTCCATATGCCTTTGCTACCCATTATAGCTTTGGTCAACCAAGTCTTTCACCTAACACTTCTAGTAAAACAGAGAAGATATAAGTTGGGTTATCAGCCTTAGTCATACATGTGCCACACACAGTACTAGTCAGTTTTGGCACATTTTGGCCAGCATGCCTCAAGCACAACCAAAGCCCATCTTTATCACAAACATGTTCATGCTATTCAGTGCAAGCTAGGATCTCTAATCTTGAGACTACTTTGCAAGCTAATATATTGTTGCCCATATCCCACCAACTAGGAGCTATATGCAGTGTACTGACACTCAGGATACAGTCCCCTACTTTAACAAGGGAGAGTAAGAAGAGTAATATTATTTATCAGTATATTTATTTATCAGGCTGGTTTTATTTTTAGCTTGGTCAATTTCATGTTTTTCTTTATATTTTTTATTTTAAAATAACATTAATTATTAGGTAGACTAAGCACAATTGCAGGGCTTTTTACCATTCATGCTATGTTATATACTGGATTTTTCTTCTTTAGTCTGGCTGTGATCTATAATAAAATTTGATTAATTGATTGATTAGTGTATAAATATTGTAAAAAAAATTAAAAACTCATTTCAGCTGTGTTCTAAAGAACTTTATAAAGTGGCAGTTTTCATGGCTACATTTCCTACTCCACTGATAAGCTTTTGTTGAATTGCCATTTGGAATTTTTTTAACCTCTTATTATGTTTCTTCAATAAGTATATTGTGTAATGGAGGAAATGCAGTCCAGGCTAACCTCGGTCAATTAGGTTACTGCAGTTGCATATCTCAGTACTGGATGTTCTTTTCTGATGAAATGAAAATGGAATGTTGAACGTTACCATAAAAATTCAGTGCCTGGTGACATTTGGATTTACTCTGACTGATACGTGCATCTTAAGATGAATTCTTGATAGTTTGTTCTCTTAGATTAATTAAAAACTTGGAGATGGCTTCCTGTTCCTTGATGTTTCTTTTTTATGTTGTATCAAAAAACTTTGGAACATCTGGTTTGAAGCTGGCTTATATTTTTAGTATTTCTAAACTGTGAACATGCCACTTACTCTGGTAAAAAATTTAAGCCCTTGCCACTTCTGCTGGGTCAGAGAAATCACTCATGAAGTCTGTCATCCTATCTGAGTTGACAGGAATGTTGACACTAATACACTTTTACAGTAAGTCCAGTGTTCTATCTTGTTTGTTTCAAAACTCGGTGTTTATTTATACATCACATTTATATAGCTGCCCATCTCACAAAGTGACTCTGGGCAATTTACAACAATTAAAATAAGATAACAAGTAAATAAAAACAAGTATTACAAAAAGATAAAGTTATTATCAGAATAAAAACATGATCACAAATTAAAAAAAAAGATTTTTAAAAGATTTTTAAAATATACAAACCCCATGGAGAGAGCAGAATATCAATTACAGTGGAACCATCTAAGAATGTATCTGGTTCCCAAAGACCCCCAGGCCTGATGTCACAACCAGGTCTTGAGGGACTTCCTAAACGAGAGCAGGGAAGGGGCAAGCCTGACTTCAGGGGAGAGAATGTTCCACAAGGAGGGAGCCACGGCAGAGAAGGCCCGCTCCTGGGACCCACCAAATGTAAGTCCCTGGCCATTGGAACATGTAGTATACCTTCCCTGCCAGATCTGATGGGATGGGCTGATGTAATTGGGGACTTGTGTTATGAGAAAGAGGGACTGGAGGGTTTCATGGCATTTTTGAGATAGTCCTTATGAATAATTGTGTGAAAGCTGCCCATCTTGTCATCTGTCTCAGAAGACAAAGGATAGTGTTTTCTCTCTCATCACCCATGCAGACGTCTTATTTAATACCTGTGGACATGCACAAATGACTTTTATTTTTAATAAAAATTCAGGGCTACTTTTAATTGACTAATGCTGTATTCCATCATCTAGCTACTAGCTATTCTGCCAAAGGTCAAGTTTCTTACAATACTCATACACCAGCATCTGGTTTTCTGTATCTGTTTGGATCTCCCAAAGTGGTTACCAGGCAACAAGGGCATCCCTTATTTTTTATTTATGATACTGTGATATAGTGAATCCCTTAGTAAAGCATATGGTACATGTATTCCCTTTACTGTAATACTGAACAGATAACCATTTTTTTTAACAGGTACCCCAAGAAGCTGGTGCAGACATACTCTGTCTTCCCCAACCAGGATGAGATGAGTGATGTAGTGGTGCAGCCATATAACTCTCTCTTGACACTCAAACGGCTGACACAAAATGCTGATTGTGTGGTAAGGAATATTGATAGGGAAATGCCGATACTTCCCTCTGATGAAAAAAGAAAATTCCTTCTATCTGGTCAGAGTGCTGAGAGCATATCACCCTATGCCTAAACATAGGTATATTACAGTGGAAAGATTTTGTTGCTAAGCAAGTAGTGTTTACATAGGCTTCTCTAGTTCTGTGGCTAATATGTTTAGTTGGCATGCTATGAGGTGCTTACTATCTAAGATCTCATTGCAAGTTCCTGTTCTGTTTCCTATCTATTTCCGCTTGGTAAAGTAAACTCTTTTGTGAGTCAAGCTTGGTGGAATGTCTATGTCCATGTAGTTTTCTTGGCAACAACATGGAAGTGGTTGGAAATCAGCCAAGGTCAGTTAGATGCAGCAGTCTTGCTAAATATTTGATTATTAATTTAGCATACAGGAAATAATGTAGCTACAAAAGAAATTGGGATACAGGTAGTCCTCAGCTTAGGACCACAATTGGGATCAGAATTTCTATCGCTAAGTGATGCGGTCGTAAAACGAGATGTCACGTGACCACGTTGCTTAGTGACAGCAGTCCCAGTTGCTGTTGTTAACTGGGAATCATGTGTCATTAAGCGAGTACCCACCCCAATCCAAGCCATTCTAGGCTTGGTCCCTCCCAGCCCCAAGCCTAGTAAGGTAAAGGACTGCCTCCAACTCCTCCCACTTGCCTATCTTCCCCCCCCCCATCTCTGCCCTTTTGGCCATCCTGCACTCTGCCTTGCGGGGTGGCAAGCAGCCCTGGAACATGCGGCTCTTGAGCTGCTTGCCATGCCCTGGGAAGCTGCAGCAGCCCCAGGTCAGTCCCAGCCGCCCTCGCCACCCTGCACTCTGAGATCCCCGCCGCCCTATGCTCCACCGCCCCAGTTGACCTTCGCTGTCGTCTTGTTCCTGCTGCTGATGAGGCATGGTGAGCCGGGCTGGGGCTGGGCTTCACGCTGCGGAAAAAAAAGCAAAAAGTGGTCCCAGAGCTGCTGCACACCAAAAAGCCCCTTTGCACTACGCTCCTGGGCTGAGCTGGGGCTGGGCTTCGCACTGCAAAAAAAAAAAAGTAAAAAGCGGCTCCTGAGCTGCAGTGCACCAAAAAGCTGTCTTGGCTGCACCTGTGTATCAGAACTGCCAAGGAACTGAAAGGAAAGGATCCTGCAGAACTGAGCCAAACTGAGGTCGGACTTTGCCACCCCACTCCTCCCAGCGCCTCCTCATCCTTCTTCCCAATCCTCATTCACCCGTTGAGTTTTTCTAGAATAAAAGCAGCAGCAACCCCCCAAACCCTATTGTTAGTCTGTCAGCAGGCAATGGCTTCCCCCCTTAAAAAACGTCTGCCGCCAAAGGAAGACCCAAAGGAATGAGGCAAACCTCAATGGGAGTCTGAGCTCCATGCTTCCTCCCCCACATCCAACCCTCCAATTTGGAAGAAAGACCTGGAAGAAGGTTCGGGCTTCGGGTTCCTTCGCAGCCAATGAGCGTGTTAGCAGAGCAAATGCAGCCTCCCCCGTGGGGCTCCATTCCTGCAAGGACTGCCGCTGCCTGCTTTGTGTCCCAGTCTAAGGGGAGAGTGCCTGTCCCTAAAAGGCCATGCTTGGGTTGGGTTCAACTCTTGCAAGATGCTTCCCAGGACAAACTGTTTGTTCAGTGG